GAGCTTGATGCTAGAGCTCTAGGTAAGCTTAGTAACTTACTCCCCCTAAAATCAATGGTGCAAGGCTCGGTTGTATGTTTGCGGTATTGGTAGATTCTTTGTTGTTTGCACCTTATATCAGACAATTTACTACTTTATGCTTTTTTCCTGTGTGCATGTGTCCAACCAAGACATAAGAAATCATTCTGGCCTAGGCCTATTTGGATTTTTGTAAAATTATAGCCTACAAGATATCATAACTAGGTTTAAGTTAAAATAACGAATTAAGCCATGAAGTTTATTGATTCATAGAGTTAATAATAAATGAAACTTATAAATTAAGTAATAGTAAACAAGTCATGCAACCTGTTGTAGGTAATTGATCTTCTTGGGAAACAAGAAGTGTGGGCAGGATACAAAGTAAAATGTAAACACTTCTGCAAACCATCAATGTGTCCTGATTTTAAACTCATAGATGTATAATATTCAAACGGTATGGTGTCACTCAAATAAAAGTTTAAGACGTTAACCATCCGATGAGGATTAAGTTATTAAAACCAAACTCACCTATCACTACATAGAACAGACTGACTGACTAAGAAACGACTAAAGTGACTACACACGACACACGACTTCAAAACAAACGATTTGTTGGTTATGTCCAACTTGTTTGAATTTGTTGACATTTCAATTTTTGCCATTAATAGCAGAATAGCCAACTGAGTTCCGTGGTTTCACTATTGATCACGGATACTAGAAAATACCTTGATCATTACTATATCTTATATCGTACTATAAATATACTGTATCTTGTATAATGTTCTGTTACATATAAATCCAAGGCAACGATATAACTAATAAACTGATGAACTATTTTTAGACACTTTTTTCAAGATTGTCATTAATAAGGCATTTAGTTAGTGGTTACACTCACTTCCATGCAAAAATTGCCGTCATGGGGATAACGTACAACAACCTTAAGAAATTCAATTTCCAAACTCACTTTTATGTTATATCTCGTTTTCTGGTAACTTTATGGGAATTCTGCTATTTTCCCCGAGTCCCTGGGGGCCCTGGGGACCTTTACTAAAATGACGACTAGACCCCCCCCCTGTAAAATTTAAGACCCCTCCTACGTTTCTGCGACTTACCAGACGTCTACAATTTTCTGGTAAAAATGTTGTCTTACAGATTCTAAATATATAAAAGGCAAAGCCCTCACTGACTGACTGACTGACTCACTCACTCACTCATCACTAATTCTCCCACTTCCCATTTACCTAGGAGGCTGAAATTCGGTACACCGATTCTTTGGGCATTACATAGGAAAACTAAGTAGTTTTTATTCTGATCGGGCTTTCGGGCTCCGCCCCAGTGGCTCTGGAGTTTCCCATGTTAACCTTATGCTTTTTCATATTTCAAAGGAATTTCTTAACAGCTGTTTCAATTAAACAAGTTGGTTCTGTTCTATGATGTTCAATGGCATTAAAGTTACAAGGATTACCAACAGGGTGCAGCAATATTATTTTTTTTTTTATTTATAACTACAGCCAATTTGCAACCAAAAGGTGAGTGAGCGTAGCGAACGAACTTCAACCTGGAAGCGAGTTAGCGTAGCGAACGAACTTCAACCAGGACGTGATTGAGCCATGCGAAAGAGCTCACTTGTGAAGTTAAACGGGGCAAAGCCCGCGGGTTCAGCTAGTTTCTAAATAAAAATATCCTACAGACTCAGTAGATACCTAAAATACAGGGGTATTACAAAATTGTTAGATACTGACTGTTACCCCCACCGCAGCAAACCTGCAAATTGGATTTTAAAATTTTAAAACGTCAGATTTATTCCCTATTTAAAAAAACATTATGTTTAACGAGAGCTTAGGTTTGCAGCTTAAGGGAAAATCTCCATAGGAATTACAGTACATGGGAATTTTACATTTACAAACTTGTTTAGTTTATCCGTGTAACCAATATAACTGTACAAAATTACTTCAAGATACTAAATTATTTGTAAAATATTTTAAAAATATTTTACTTAATTATTTTTTAGCTCTACAAAATCGTTTGGAGAGAAATTGGGGAATTCAATGTTTCGGTGGTCAAAAAAGCAAACAATTTTTTACCCCATAAATCCATGTTCCTATGGTCTGATCATGCTCAGGTGCGGACCCCCCCCCCAAACAGATAAAAAATCCGAACAATTTTTTTGTTAACACCGGACCCCCCCCCCCACTTTACTGGGGCTATACCAGACCATACCCCCAGGACTACAAACCCCCTTACAGAAATCCTGGATCCGCCCTTGCATGCTGGTTCGTTAACTTTTTCAAATAGGTTCACACGTTTGTACCAAATTTAACCAAAATCGGATGATTTTTGCTCAATCATGCTAACTCATACAAACACAATCCGTTCATTTTTTTATACAGTTACAGTACAGTATAGTGTTTTGGCCTCTGTGGACATCAAAACGAAAAAGTAAATCGGTCCCAGGTCCAGGTCTCACCATGAGACCTACGGTAATAGCTTACTCCTTGTATGGTAAATTACTAAAACTCATGTTAAAGTAATAATAAAGTATAACATTATGAATTAGAGAAATAAGCAAAATTTAGAACGCCTGTATGATTGTCTGCGACAAAATGCAACAAATACGCGCTGCGGGCTGCCGCTATGTTGTTGCTGGCACTTTATTATTACGAGTAAAAAAAAAAACTTGTAATAATCATCTGATCCGGTAAACATTGTTGTGCATTTTTTTCATAAAATGTGTTTATCTGAAAATAATATTATTTTGGATTGCAAAGTTATGTATTCAGCACGTCAATGCAGGGCTACAGATATACATATCTATACATATCTATATGTATATCTGTAGCCCTGACGTCAATGACTGCCAAACAAATTTGAACAAATAAATTGATTAACAAGGTGTTCATGGTTAAAAAATCATTAATGTAACCTATAAATCAATTGTTGACCATTTCACGCTTTTTTACACCAGAAACGTGACACAAAACACCCGTGTAGAAATATATAAAACCAGATGAAAGTTGAAAACACGGAATAGCTTTTCAAAATGTTTAGCCAATATTTAAAGACCTATAAACTAACGATGGAAACCACTCTGCAATGGACATATATTTGAAGGACGTAGAATATCTTCTCAAGGGAGCCAAACAGTAAAAAATAGGAGCTATAGTAAAATTAATCTACTTTTTCGTTTAGGAATATATTTTTTCCTTATACCTAAAAGCTCAAGGATATGCTAGGTATTTTGTGCGAGTCTTGTATGGTAATTACCATTTTTATCATCGTATAGTAATTAATTGGAAGACATTAAATTTGTAAGATTTAATTGCAGTTTTCCGATGAATCGAATCTTAAATCGGATATGGCTATGTGAATTAGAAGTGGTTTTAGAATTGACAACACCACACTTTCTCGATTCCTAAGATTACATATTACGACTCCTCCAGTGATCTCTTTTCTGAAAAAAACATATTTAACATTGTTTCATATTTAATAATATAAATTTACTAACAAAACTAATACACCCCGAAGATACATTGTGAATTAAACCATAACACTTCAGTGGTGTCAAGTTTAATCATGATCAGTAAACTGTAACGGCTAGACAATAATTGCGATCCTTCTTGATACGTAAACCAAGAATTTTCCACACTCGGGCGGACACAGAATTAATTGAATGCAAAATATTGTGTAGGAGTAAGTCTGGTACGCAAATTGCAGGTAATTAAATGAATGCAAAATTTAATACCGGTAACGTATCAAATGTCTCCGTGTATGCATTAACAATCATAATATTTTTTAATCTTAACTCGCCAAGACAACTTTTTATGTTACAAAAGTAAAGCCACCTCTGAAGAAACGTAGTTTTGAATTTATTTCATAAGACATAAACTATGGAGAAATTGGCACATTATGGGTATCTACTAACTTCTAGACACATGAGTGCTCTTCTTCTACAATCTTATGATTTCACGTTCGGAATTAGGAATGGCCATGATATCCAATTAGTGGCTATGAAGAGGTGATGATGACTCTTCCAGCGAGAATATTTCTGAGGAGAGATATTTTTCAATTTCATCGATAGGTTTCCGAAAAAGCATGAAATGTGAAACACCCTAGATAGAAGAACCAAAAGCATGAATTCAATTCCAAAACTTCAGTGTCTAAAATAATTAGTGACGCTGATTCAAGTCTGTTCACAAGATTTCTACTCGTATTCACTTTTGTAATTTTCTAATACAGTAGCTAATATCTGGAAAAAATATTTTGTAGTCGCTGATCCCGATTCAGCATATATTCTCCAGTGTCTAAGAGTGGCAAATTTGTTAATTCATCTACAAAACTTCGGCAATAAGAAGTTTTTGAACCCCACTTTTCACCGTCGATAAACTCGGAGAAATTCTCACTCGGTCGGTTTCACCTAAATGCAAAATAACACTTAAGATACGAAACGGTTCATAATATTTGTAATAATCCACACCGTATCTATATATAGTGGACTTCGATATCAAGTAGCCCTTTATAACAATTGTCATTTCTACATGCCCTTCATATTACCCGTGATTGCATGTTATTGCAAACCTTTATAAGGAGTCAACCATGTATAAGGGTTACAAGTCATATTTGATCATCCCCATGGGATAATTGTTATCCAGGTTTTACTGTATTTCCTAGTCGAAATATTTCTAGAGATACTTTATGGTCTAATTGTTTATCGGTTAGGTTCCGAATTGAGTTATAAATATATCTTACCACTGAAGAAGCGAAGTTTTGTCCCACAACCAAGGTACAATATAATTTTGTTCCCTGCAACGACCACAATTTAGCACCCCTTCATTGATAAACTTAGTAATTACACACTCGGTCGGCCCTGTAGGCAAAGGATCAACAGAGAACAGACCACAGCCCGTATGTTTAGCCTACCTATACCTGCGAAGGTGATAGGAGGGGGTAGGTAGACTAGGTTATGTAACATTCTTCGTCGACGACTCCTAGCACTCAGTTCTTCCCGTGCCGTCCTATGATTTTCTTCTTCACAACATAACCTCTTTTTCAAAAACTCAAACATGGTGTATATTTTGTAACATAGTTGGTTAAAATTGTTATTTAGTGACCTCGGAAGTGTCTAGTGCTCCAAAATGCCGCCGAATTCGGAAAGGAACAACCCATCGGCCACTATGATCATTGATGAGGTAACGTTTCTGTGCACACTAGTAGTTTAGTTTTTATTTTTAAAACGATATTTTATGTATACCTCGATTCCAAAAACCTGTCTGCGGACATTTTGAATAAATTAGAGAGCTGCCGGGGCAGGTCACTTGTCGCTGGATCTGAAATTGGAATTTGGAGGTTATTCTATTTGATCAAATTAAAACAGAATTTTCCCTTTTGTAGCATTTGATTTATATACGGTATTAGCTATTATCTTTAAGCTGTGGTGAAATAATCCTATGTTAAACTGAACATTGCAAAAAGTTTGCATTACATAAGATTGCAAAATTTCCTACTATAAAATCACTTCTTGAATTTAATTAACTTAAAGTATATTTACAATAACAAAACCGTATGCAACTGGTTTACATAATGACGTTTCTTGTTGTGTTTTGAAACTAGTTTCGTTATCTCATCATAATTAACTGCCCAAGTAAATAAATTGACTAGAAACATGTTATGTAAACGGTTGTTTATTTTTGGGACTTTCTGAAGTAAAATAACTCAAAGGTTTTGGAGTAAACACCACATTATCTAAGAAGGAATAAAATAGAAAAGAACAGCAACATCTCATAACTCTATATCAAATCAAACCTACAATAGAAAAAAACTCCTTCAAATTAATTTACAGGGCTTTTCGTAATCTCACAAACTTCGATATGAATTGAAATCAATTAGTTATTACACAGGCAAGAAAATACTTCCCTATTTCAAACATGTCAAATAAACACAACCCAATAATAATTGTTCTTGTTCCTAATAAATAATTTCAATGGTTTGTAAAAAAGAATTTTCGTAAACTATAAAATATCTGTTTACGATATTCTTTAATTTAACGATTAGGTATTCAATCCTTTATTGTACTTGAAGTTTGAACACTGTAAAAATAACTAAAGGTACCGGTACTGCAAATAATAAAAGATCCGTGAACGTTGATAAAAAACATTTTAATTAAATCACTGAAATAGTGTACAGTAATGATTTTAATTTCACGACTGTAATCGTGTCAAACAGGAAGGATAATTAGGCCTATTGTAAACTGTAATATATTTTTGTCCTAAAACTTTCAAAACAAATACTAACATGGACGATAATGATAGGCACTTCATCCGTGCTATCTTTGTGAAAAATCCGTCTATAGCTAATCCATAATGAGATGTCTACTTTAGTATCCAAAGATATGTTTATGGTAAATTTAATATTCGTAGCATTTGCTGTTCAAATAAATAAGTTATATACAAAATAATTACATAAAAGTGACACGTTTGGTTGGGTTTAGTGTTTAAAATGTTAAACTAAAACGGAACAAATACGTTTTCTAATAAATTTCATAACAAAATCGAATTGTTCAGTTTGTTTATTAAAGAGAATCTATAAATATGCAGACATAGGCCTATATTGTGTAACAATTCCCTGCGAAGCACTTTAAGTGCCACTAAGATATCATGTTAACTATTGAACTGATCGGGATAAGTGTCAAATTTGTACTGCATCTTTTTATGCAAATCGTCAATATAATCATTACCAAAATAAACCACATCTAGGTATAAAACTGTAATATACTGTCGATACTTCTACTGTAATTTCAACTACGAATAATTATTTATTAAACCAATGCAGTATTTTCTTGTTATTCAATTGATTCTTTTCATGGTTAGTTCAAAAAGAATAGTTAGCAGCTTGAATTTATTGTTTACAAAAATATTGCATATATTTTTAACTACTGTGTGTAGGAAAAAGAAACAATGGTGTTGCGAAAGTAATTTATTATTATTATTTTTATTCTTTTTTTGTATTATTTTTATTTTTGTTATGTTTTTTAATGTTAGGGAATCGTATTTATGAGAATCGGAGATAAGAAAGCGCAATTTTTTATAGATGAATTACTTAAGAATTCTTCGTCAAACAATTAACTATAAACTAGTTAATTTAGATTGAAGTAGTTCGTAATCATTCAATGGTAAATATGTATATTTATATCTGAACATAGTTTATTTAGTTTTGAAAACCTTTCTCAAAATGTATTACTTGTACATGTTTTTTTAACATCACAACAATGAGTTTAAATGTGTAAAACAGTGGTAATTATAATTAGTGCTTAAACCTACAACGAGAATCAAAATTAAACACACTAGAAAATTAGGTGGATCAGATTAGTATACAAAATATTTAACCACTTGAATATTGATGCTGAAAGATTATTTTGAACAGAGGGATTATTTAGTTTTAAAATCCGACAAAATATACTAATTTCAAAAATAACAGTTTAAATTTGTTGTTTTAAACCTAGTAAATGGACGAACTTTTCACAACTTAGTAAAGTTTTTTGCTGCACTTTAGTATCTGTTCTACACTCATTCGAATGAAAAATATCGATCGATACATTGATTATTATTTTATTCGATGTATCAAGTTTGGTTGGTTAGGTTATCCTAGAACCTAACTAATCGAATTAAATGATCGAAATATCGAATAATCTATATATCGATATTTTTGAATGGAATGAATGTCAGATACTGAAGTGCAGCCAAATTTTTAATAATGCTGAGGTCAATATCAATCAGCTGTAAATCAGTGAAGTTCATATACTCAGTTCTTGAACTTTGCCACCCTCTATCCATGTGTATAAAATCGTAATTACTTAAAAGATAGCAAAACGCTGAAGTAATAAATTCGTACTATGAAGTAGAACTGTTTTATATTAGATAGCTTTAATGTTAGGTTATACCTTCGACTAATCGTAATTAGTCGTTCCTCTGACATTGATATTCTGAAAAAAGTGTTATGAAAAAAACACAAATTTTCAAACCACTTAATAATGCAAATATTTTCATTTCAACCAAATAAATACAACCAGCTGTATCCTTAGTGTTAAATCAAAAATTATTCATATGTTAAAATGTAAACAAATATTTTCCCCATAAGGAGAACATAGGAACTTTAAAGGCCCCTAGGGCAGAGCCCTGATGGAGTTTCTCGAAAACGCTTCTTATTGCACACCTATGGTTATAAATCCTCAATTCAAATCTCCATTCCAATTCCTGAGTTCCTATTGTGTGTAGTGTTTGAGATAGTGATCAGTGAGTGAGAGAGTTGCCTTTTATAAGTATAGAAGATAGATTTGTGCTCTATTAAGGTGTAACAGTTAACTTCGGCACCCACGAGGTAAGCAATATATTTTGCTTTTATTAAATGGAAACCTTTCAGATAACCAGTTTGTTGACCTCATAGATCGGGAAGTACAGAAATCACAATCTCTGTACACCAGTAAAGTCTTTTCCAGCACTATTTTTAGCAGTGAATTGTTGCTTATATAACTCAAGGTCGGAGGCCCGACTAGCGGGGTTCGACGGCTCCACGAAACCAGTTCCCGACGTGCCATTTTATCCCGAAATTTGGGATGTAACTGTCCATGGGATTGGGATACTGTAGGACTTCGGGTATAAGGAACATCACAAATCTCCTAAGTCATTCTAACAGATTCAGCTAAACTTGTATGAATAGTAATTAATTGGTTATAGAATAAACTACCGGTACGTAATAAGGTATGCTATGAGGGCAAAGAATTCTCTTTGGAAATAATTATAATGGAATTTTCTTTTGTCAAACTGATAAGCATTGCAGTAGGATTTTTAAAGTTATATAAATGTAGATATTTGGTAGTGCTTCCTTTACTTCCTTAGTAAAATTCATTCGGGTTAGTGCGATTTACTTTGTCAATCTTTTGTGCATTTCAGAAGAATTTTTTTTCTTTTTCCAACTAATAGGGGATACAAATACACTTTTTGTATAACTGTTTCGTATTGTCATATAGTGAGATTATTTCCCGATCGAATAGTGGATTTTAATGCCTTCCTTGCCAAACTTATGTGAAGTGTGAGATTTTCGGGGTAAAATCCAATGTGGACTGTCATGGGATTTTGTAAAACTTGAATGCAGTAAATTTGCCTTTGTAAAACTATGCGGCCAAATGTATTTCATGCATTAATTTGAATTCTAAAATCTTGGGATTTAACACAACACTAAATTTTGGTCATCAAAATATAGCTCAAAATTGAAACTAAAATTTGCTATTTTGTGCATTAGTAACATAAATGTGCCGTAGGAGGAAAACACGAAATTTAACGTGGAATTGCACTATACCACAGACAATATACCATTAATAATTGGTCTATAGTCCAATTAATCATACCTAGGCTGCACTAGATATCTAGTACGACCTAAACAATTTACATACGAATCATTGTATCCTCCACATACAGTAACAAGTTGCCGCTAGTGGAATCTTCAGTTTATCAGGTTCTTTGCAATCTCATTAAACATACCGGTACCAAATCCAAATCCATTACCGGTGCTGACAGTTCGGTTTTATAGCATTTAAAAGTCTTTCCTGATCGGAATCCACCAATTCGCATTCAAATAAACTTTGATTACTTGCAAATTGATTCTTTTGGCAAAAAATAGAACTGACCCAGGTTGTAGTCAGTTTTATGATGTTCAAGAAGAATAACTACAGTACAACGAGGATGCATTCCTAAGTGAGGACGAGTAGTAGTAGGCAATCCAGATTTCATAATCCTATGAATAATTTATCGTCCATCTGAGGGTCTCTCGCCGAAGACTGATGTTTTTTTCGGATTAGGACGGAGATTTCACAGGTCTAGATTGATTAAGGACCAACGTTTTTAGGCATCGGTGCCGATACTATTTTCTCTATTTCTCACTATTTTGTTTAGTTTTCAAGTTTATAACTTTTTACAAGGAATAATTTCTGTTCCTGAAACAAGCAAGTCACTAGGGAGTAAAAGACTTTTTTAGTCCCTAGTGAGTTAAAATCAGCTGATGTAAACACAGGCATAAACTTCAATTATAAGCAATCACATGTATTGAAATGATGTACGGTATTGGTTGATTAGCTTATTTTATCATTCTTGCCAATAGACGAAATGATTGAATCACTAGGTTCAAAGCGCGTTCAATA